TGTTTCGGCTATCAAATGGTATTATAGGAGATTGTATTTCATAGTGCTGTTTAGGAACGGTAAGCTTTCGGATTTTGCTTCGAATGGTACACCATGGTAAACCTGATCGAACGCCATGATTTTTCCACAGATCTACGTGCCCCGGTGTCTAGTTTCAGAAACTGAAAACCGCAAGTCTGTAGCATTCTCCGTTAAAAAGTTATAAGCGAAATATCGGAGTCCATTATATTTTGATACAGATAGTAGTTATGTCAAATAACGGCTTGTCTTTTGATATTAACTCAAATCTTTCTCTTATGATTCTACACTTTTTTCTTTCTTATGGTGGCAAAAGAAAAATACATTTGATAAATTCATCTCAACTACGTTATGTCGAATTCAATTATCTAATTTTATAAAAAAGGCCTAATCTTTTGTCAATAAAATATGAATAGTTCTTCTTTCTCTAAACGACAAGAATCTATCACACAAACTAGCATTTATTATATTTTTATATCTGTTCGATATATGTCAGCATGGCAACGAAGAAAGATCACATTATCATTGTTAAATTACCTGAAATGGAAAAGAATAATAATATACTGAGATTATAAAAAAATGTTTTTCTAGACAATAAAAAATCTTTTATCTGACGTTATCAAATGTTTTTAATGAGAAGAAAAGGATAATAATTGCTAAATGTTATGTTTGATGTGGTTTTTGTTTTCGTTGTTGTTCAATTCTGATCATATCCACGAGAAGAACATATAAAGATTTTATCATAATCAAAAAGGACGTTCCTACCACCGGGTACTCGAAGTAAATCATATGTATATGCTATATTGATACACATATCAGAATCGAGGTGAAGAAAGTGACGAGCGTTATCAGCTTCGGTTCGCCGAAAATAATGTAAACAATTATCAAATTGTAAATGGACATATAATTGAATGATAATTTCAGATTTTTAAGACGTTCTTCTGACTGTTGTTGTTCTTCAAGGTTTGCGATCATTTTTTCGAGTTTTTCGAAAGACGAAATATTCACCAAACAGTGATAACAAAGATTTTTTTTAGATGAAAGAGGAGTATTAAATAATAATCGAAATACTGAGTAGAAAACTCCTATAAAGTACATTTTTATGAATTTAACTAAATTCACTTATTGTTCCAAGCTTTCGGTATCTTCAGACACCATTTTCAAGGAAACAAGTGACACAGAAGAAAAATTACAATCGAAAAGGGTGTTAACAAAAACGTTTTTATTCACATATTTTCATTATCTCTGTAAAATAGAAATAAGAAACATTCTTGCTCCTTTTTTCGATTGTAATTTTTCTTCTGTGTCACTTGTTTCCTTGAAAATGGTGTCTGAATACACCGAAAGCTTGGAACAATAAGTGAATTTAGTTAAACTCATAAAAATGTACTGTATAGGAGTTTTCTACTCAGTATTTCGATTAAAGATTTTTTTGTTCATTAACATGTTTTAATAATTGTTTTGTTTCAAAATTGTATTTTTCTGTTGTCACCTGGTCGACAAGTTTGCCTTCTACTTTAGCAGAACAAGCAGTACAGTAATTGGATAAGATGATGTATAACACCAGCATAACTACGGGTAAACCGAATAACAAAATACATTGTCGGTTTTTTGCAAGTACGTGGCAGATGGTGTCTAAAAAAAATAATTAATATTCATAAATAAATCATTAATCAACAAAAAATTTCAGAATAATGATTGCAATGTTGTAATTGATAACTACTATTGTTTCTTCTCTCGAGTCAGCAAATATAATATTGACCTTGATTGACCTTTCGTTACCACAAACCCAATACCTGACAATAACCATCAATATTTCAATCCTCATTGTCCCACACTTATTTCATACCGTCGGGAACTGATATCACAATTAATTGAGAACAATTTGCTTTCTAATCATGTTCATATCCTCAGAGAGTTTCGTAATCGAATAAACCAGGTATTGGCACCATCTCATCCTCTCATCCTCCAGGCAGACAACGACAGTAATCACGACTGCGACCATCACCATTGTGTCTTTAAATATTAATAGATGAAGTCCAAAATATGCTGATATTGTGACGGGTACGCTTCGTTCTTCAGCATCGATATTAGTATCAACGTCAAATGCTATCACATTTAGTCCATCTTCAGTTAATGACTATCTACAAATTTTTAATCAACAATTAAAAGTAATTGAAAATCATTACAATCATTAGATATATTAATGTTATCAAACCTACAGTAAATTTGATTTGATTTCCTCTAAAGTAGAACAAATGAGACAGATGGTAGCAAACGTTATAGTGCCTTGTATCTCAACTGTATCTCATGCAACAGTTAAAATATTTCAACCATCTAATAGTGTTATAGCGTCCATTTTCTCTCACATGTAATCTCAGTTTCAGAATCTAATTTATCTTATGATTCCCTTCTATTATCATTTTATGATCTACGTACAATTTACTGATGACTAGAAAGTTTTGTACTTCATGTTTTCATGAAATGGTGCAGATGAGCCTTGAGTTCAAAATGATGAGTCTGAATTTTTGAACTCGATGTATTCTTGAGTTATAGAAAAGACAGAGGATGGTATTCATTTATCTAATCCAGAATAATCGTCCTTTGCTGTTTTCTCTTTCTCATCATAGTCAGGTGATGTTACTAATACAGAATCTTTTGTTCAATGTTTAGATAGAGAGTGTAACACCTGGATTTGTAATATTGCGATTCTAGGTAAAAAGTATATTGTTATATCGTGTATGCTTGATTCAGTAATCAAATGTATACGATGTCCTTTGCGTTAAGCGTCTGGTAACGAGACAAGTTTTGCTCGATAAAGTTTTAGACATAAATCTAATGTCTTACTCGTTATTCATTTAGTACTTTAGATAGGCATTATGAAGGGATAATACAAAGAAGAAAAGTGAATTAAACAATATCAACTGCTACATTGAGAAAGAATTAAATAAGTACAACGTAGTAGCTGCTGCTGCAACAAAAAAAGAACGTAAGAAAACGAGTGCAATTACAATGTAACTAATGATTAATGATGAGATAATAAAAGATAAAATTCATAAGTCTGTTTGATAATTTGTCTGTCCGGGAGGCTTCTCCAGCATAAATGGCTCTTTTCCCAGCATAAATGGTTGTGCGATTTACTCATCTTTAGCATAAATGTCATAGCCATTTATTACTCTCCAGCATAAATCGTCCTTTCTCTACATAATTTGTGTATCCGGGAGACTACTCTAGCATAAATGGCTGTGCCATTTAGTCATCACTAGCATACATGGCTCTTTCTCTACATAATTTGTTTATCCGGGAGGATACGCTAGCATAAATGGCTAATTTCTACCATAAATGGTTGTATTCCTAGCATAAATAGCAGTACGATTTATTCATCTATAGCATAAGTGGCTCTGTCATTTATTAATCTCTAGCATAAATAGATAAATTTATTACTCTCCGGCATAAACGGCTCTTTCTGTTTATGATTTATCTCCGATTGCAGTATGTTTTACTCGAACTTTTTTTCCAGAACATAGTGGAATCAAGTTTTAAGACGTGCAGACAATGCTTTGGTGTTGTTCTAATCTTTATCTGGAAAGGAAAAATCAGTATAAATAGCGAGCCAGGTAGTAAATTCAGAGGATGTACAGAGTAAATTCAGGTGTCTGTTCCCTCATCTAAATAGGTCTCATTTTCGCTGGTTACACTGCTACAGAATCGGATTTTTGGATAAGTTTTCTTTTGAGACGCATCTCTTTTTTGCAGATTAACTCAGTCCGTATGTGTCAGAAGAAACAGTGAAAGGAACTTTTGATAGAAAAGAGCCACTTAAAAAGGAAGTGTGTCCGAAGGTAGCTGAAAGACTGATTTCAGCGTGTTTTACCTACTTATGCTAGCGATTAAGAAAGCGCAGAGCCAATTATGCTAGTGAAAAAGCCATTTCTACTAGAGCACCCTCCCCGATAGACAAATTCTGAAGAGAAAGAGCCGTTTATGTTGAAGAGTAATAAATGGCTATGCCATTTCTGCTAGGAAAGAAGCCATTTATGCTAGAGAAGCCTCTCGGATAGACAAATTATGAAGTGTAAAAGCTGTTTATGCTGGAGAGCAATAAATGGTTATGGCATTTATGCTAGGAAAGAGTCCAATTATGGTACAGAACCTTCCCTGATAGTCAAATTTCGTATTCAAGCTTCCGAAAAATCTATTTTGCTAAACTGCGTTGCTCCATTAAGTGTCATGGATAAATCATTTAGCTTTGGAATGGAATATTGACCAATATCTAATGCTTGATTAACACCAGTACTGAAATCCGCACATATTCGTACTTTCCACCAGGTTTTGGTACTACGACGATTGGTGCTGCCCACTTGGCAACATTGATCGGTTTCAATACTTTTTCAGAAACAAGCCGATCTAACTCCGATTCGACGGCTTGTCCATATGCAAAGGGCAAAGATCTGGATTTGCAGAAATTTGGTGTAACATCTGGTTTGATATAAAGATGTGCTTTCACCTTGCAACATCCTAACCCTTCCTTGAAAATTTCTTTGTAGTGATTCATAAGTTGGTTTACATTTTCGATTCCACAATGAACATTAAGGACTGCGCTACCGAAAACGCTATCGTCTAATGTTGTTTTCTGAGATGCAGAGCGTCGATCCAATTACGCCCGAGAATATTATTGCGATTTCCATCACTAACTAAAAGTCGCAATTGCGTATTTTGACCATTCTAATTTCGCTTAACCATTTTCTCCCCCTTCAGACGAATGGAATAACCGGAAAAAGTATTGTAAGTTGATTTGACGGATTGTAGATGTGGTTTTCCCATCATCTTCCATAGCTGTTCATTGATAATAGTAATAGGAGAACCGGTATCTAAATCGAATTGAACTTGTAAATCATCAAGTTGAATAGGAATACGTACTGGACGTTCAACTATAGTTTGTTCATGTTTTACAGAAGATAGAGTATTAACATTGCTTTTGACTAAAGTTGTTTTTGAGCTACAAACTTTAGCAATGTGGCCTTCTTTGTTACACTTGTGGCAGGTAACACTACGAAAGCGACATTTTGATTGTGGATGATCCGTAGATCCATAACTTGAACAATTTGATTTGTGATGGGGGATTTGTAATTTGTTTTGTGGTGTTTTTGAATTTTCATAACGGAAAAGTCTTCTGATAAGCTACCTTTAACGTTAGCTCCCTGCATAAGCACTGATTCAAATGTTCTTGCGGTGTTGAGCGTTTCCTCGAACTTTTCTAAATTTTGTTGCATCAAATGTTTTCGAACGTTTTCATTTCGTAAACCATCGACGAATGCTGTAATCAAAGCTTCTTCGTGAAAATCACTTGGAAATTTACATGTTATGGTTTTGTCTCGAAGATAATTTGCGAAATCAGTAAGAGTTTGTGAAGATTCTTGACGTGTCGCAAAGAATTTAATTCTTTCAGTCGACGAAAACGTAACACGTGCATAATTCGTACGAAGTTTCTGGATGATCTCTCGATAAGTACATTCAGCAGGTATCTTTGGTTTACAAACAGAGATAAGTGTTTTGAATGGTTGTACACTAAGAGCTGTAATGAGCAAGTTTCGTTTCTTGTTATCATCGGTGACATATTCGACATCAACATAAGTGTCAAAAAGAATCTCCCAATCATCCCAACTATAAGATGTTGGATCGAATTCATGAAGACGATATGTATTTGAACGTGGAGTTTGTTCAACAGTAGTACGGATACGAGGCATTACAGTACCTTTTTTTTTTAATTAAATTAAAAAAGACTTTAGCTCATCCTCGTCGCCCAATTGTTGCCAATTGTCACGTTTTGGTTTTGATAACAAAAGACCAATCAGGGTCCATAGTATATTTATTGAGTTGAGAGAACAAACAATAGTAGTTAGATGAAAAAACGTACAACTAACTAACTTCAATAGAACGGACAGTACATATATACATATATTATCATACTATTGCCATGAAGCCAAAGAATAAAAGTAAAAGAACAGAAAAGTAACAATAGCGGTTATCACCACATAACATCTAAAATATCTTTAAAATAATAAATGTTACTACGTCACACTCTCAGGCAGTTCTGTAATGACAGAAAGTGATTTGATCCAGATATCATAATCACCCACTCTTGTTGACATACTGATATTTTATGTAGTAACAAAAAATTTATTTTATTTAATTTATTTTATTTACATTAATGAACTTTTAACACTTTCAAGTAAATTTATTTCTCACTTGTTAAATATCTGCTAATGGACAGTTGTGACAAATATTAAACCGTCGAGGTTGTTCAAATGATTTATTTCCATACTAAAATATTCTTCTGTTTTTCATCAATAATCGTTTGAATTAAGCAATAATCATGTTTATTTCTCAGCGTTTCATACATGATATTTGTATAATGATCTACATTTTCATTTGTGGATGATATAAAAATACGAAGACTAACCAAATTTTTCATATTGTTAATCATTTCACAGAACATAGATATTTCTTTATCATTAATACAACTTAAAGTTGATTCAATGAATCTAAATTGTAATTCTAGACCATTTATATTTTGAAAATAATTATTTAATATCGTTCGTAGTTTGGGTAAATGGTTACAATCAAATAAAGATAAATATTCAATATTATTTTTAACAGAAATATTCTGTAAACATTGAATATCATGTATTACTAACGTTTTTAAATTTGGTACCAACAAAAGAAGTTGACCAAGGTAGGATATATTTCTTTTAATTCTTAAATATATGAGATGATTTAATCTTAATTTACTATCAAAACAAGTTTCACTTTTACTAATATTTTCAGCTGAGATTGTAAGACTTGTTAATTTTGAAAAGTTTTCTGTTAGAATTTCAGCTAATTCAGAGAATACTATCGGATGAGATGATGATTCAAAAATTTCTATTTGTCTGATATTCGAATAATCGTGATTAGAACTACTATAAAATAAGGTTGATGAGAGTAAATGAAAGCGATATGATGTATTTGACATTGCTGGTAAAGTAAAAATAGAATAATGATTTCGTTCTTCATCAAAATTAAACACAACATTCCATTTATTGATATTTCTAAACGCTTCTTCTGTTACTGATCGATATGATGGGGTGAGACATGTCGATTCACTCATTTCAAACTCCAATTGAAACTGTAATTCCTCTAAATCTGGAATATTTAATAATATTTCACTAATTCTTGTTCCATACAACGGTAAAGATACTAGATTAAATGCAAAGAAGTGTACAATTGAAAAGAAACGTAATTTAGTTAAATAAATCATATTAATAAATATTTTTTCCAATGCTACCAAACTGATCGATCGATTGTAGCAATATAAAGAAAAATCTTTTAAATATGGTAGTTTCGATGGCAAACTCTATAACAAAGAAAAAATTTATGTTAGTAGCTGTATATCTCTTATCAGTACTTTCTACATTAGCACAACTAAAAACCACTAGAATGAAACATTCCAATAGTGACAGAGCAGATGATCTAAACAGTAACCTAACCAGACCACGGAAATGTGATAAGAATATATTAATGTTTTCCTGATCACTAGACCAAGATAAAAATTCAAGATCTGTATCTGGTTTCTCCGTCTGTAACCTGATTTTTTTTCATCTTTTCTATTTTTAATAGAAACTCGGTTAACAGTTTTTACGATTTAGTGGCCATGAACTTAGAATTGTATATATTAAGACAGCATCTATTTTGAACCGCTAATTTTAATGACAAATATTTTCTGAAAACGTCGAAATAAATCAAAATACTTTCATAACAAAATGTCGTTCAAATTAGCTGCTGTATTAATATATTCTGTTAACAGTTTTTTGAACTTTTAAAAAAGTTTTGATTGTTGCTTCTAAAACAGTTTCAATCTTAGGCTTCAATAATGTTCTCCCATGTACTTCTCAATTATCGCTCGACACATAATCTAGCAGTTGAAATAAAAGAGTGACTGGTGTTTTATAGCTTGCCGTGTGTGAAGAAAACGTCTACACTTAGACTTTCGGAGGATGTATAGCCGAAGATATTATCAGTTGGATCATTTCGACATTAGAACAAATCTAGTATTCGATGAAAGAGGCGACTTAGCAGTTTCTTTCGAAACTTTCCATAGTAAATATCGAAACATCGTAAGTCAGTAATTTCTTTGCTTTAGTTCTCCTTTAAAAAAGTTCAAAATCACCTATAAACTCTTAAAAGCTCGAATATAAAAATGTTCTTCACAAAACTTTCAGGAATAAGTCGCTTCTATAACAGACAATGCTTTTCCACCTCGTCTGACATGATGAGCGACATCTCAATATTTTTGTGTTGCCCACATAGGTCATTTACATTAGAATTGATATTAAACAAATTGATATTTGATAAATATTCTTGTTCAAATAATATATAATCTAGGCGTTGAATAACTTGAAAGAGTGAATAAAAGAACTTTAATAGAATTCTCTAATAATACATGAAATAAAACTCCTACCTTATAGTCATACCCACCATCATCAATAATGTATTGGTTCATCGGAAGATAAAAAACAGATAAATCACCCAATTCCACACTCAAATAAGTTAATGATGGAAAATTGTCAAATGCAACCAAAAGATCCTACGAAAAATAAACCTCAATATCATTCAATATTTTTAGTTATACTAATTTTACCTTATAGTTAAAAACATCAATTGTTAAATGCTGAATATAATAATTTTTTGATATGAAAGCATATGAACCGAGGAAAACGCCAGGATATCTGTTTAATGAAACATTCAGTTTTCTTAATGATTTCTTTTTTGGTCTGAATAGTACATGTTCACATAGGAGAGATGAAAATTGTTTGAGAGGATGATCATCATTTTCGATATAAAATGAATAAAAAAACATAAAAGCAAATGTATTGTTAATTCTTCGAGATTTGGAAAATAATTCATGTACAACTGGTTAAAAAATGAACATAAATCAGACATATGATTAATTCCCGATAATTCTAAATATGTGACATTATCAAAGTATGCAAAGGTTCCGAGTGAATTGAGTTGCTTCAGTTGTGAACATGCAAGAGATTCGTCAATTTTTAAAGCATGGATATACTGGCTAATTTTCTCCAATATTTTTGATTTAACGATGGAATTAAATACATTAGAATTGATATTAAACAAATTGATATTTGATAAATATTTTTGTTCAAATAATATATAATCTAAGCGTTGAGTAACTTGAAAGAGTGAATGAAAAACTTCCCCAGATTTGAAATAATGGCACAGTTCGATCAGACAAAGATCGGGCAAATCATCAAAAGAAGTCATCTAAAATTTATGACTAACTACAACCACTTACAGATATGAGAATCTTAAAATTTATCTTTCATTTAAAATTACCAGCATAAAAATATCTGTTGACCATTTCATAATGAGAGGATTTTCAATAAGAGAAAAAAACCTCCAGCACTTATAGGTCTTGGAATAATTTTTCTATAAAAACTCGTCAACTTATTTTGATAAAAAGAAAAATTTATTGAAGTTTGAAAATTTTATTAAAATACTTTAGAAGTCCATTAGTGTATATCGATTACAATTAGGATGTCAAATAACATCATGAAACTTTTAAAACTGCTCAAATCCCAAAGGTTTTCCGTAGAATTTTTTATACAAATTATTCCAAGACCTATATTCTAAAGATACAGGTTTTGTCAGGATCCCATTGTGAAAGTCAAAATGAAAGAAAACTGATATTATCATAGGATTCAGCATGGCGAATAATTCCTAGATCCTGACTTTTCAGTTACAATCTCTCCGTTTAAGCACTTTTCTGTTATTTGGAAATGCTCTCATTATAATAAAAATGTAAAGTTTCTTTGATGGCAGCTTTACTAAGAGAAAATTGTCTTTCTCAAGATTATGAAATACTCTTTTTGTAGAAAGATTAGAAAAAGAAGAATTTCATAAGAAAGGATGCAAACCTTCAACTCGCAAGAACACTTTTACCTTGACATTCTTTCGAGTGTCCACATAGATTCAAATATCATTCTTTTCCTCGTATAAGAATAACTAACAAATGCTTTTCTTTCTTCTTATTCTTGCATCAATCTCTGTATTGAACTTTCGACCGATTACTATCAATGAAAAGAAAGAGAACACTCCGAACAACCGGTTAAATCCAAAACATAATTCATTAGCTGAGGAAAAACTAATGTAGATGAACGACGTCAGTAGAATAAAAACAGGTATTGTTATATACGACTGAAATAAAAGATGACAGTGAGCTAGCGATAGGTATGATCTATTTATTTCATGAATATTACAGAGAAGTATATACATATTATGGTGAAAATATCACAGCGATTTTTATTCGATAAGGCTATTTGACAGAAATTAGCATTATGCCTGCTGTATGTAAAAATGAGCTATCATAGCATTCTTACGTAGAAATGATTAAGATGAAGTTGGATTCGGGGGCGTATCACACTTTACAGCGACTATCTTAGAATCAAATGAAACTTTCAGAACTAGTAGATCTCAAGAAGTTAGTGATGAGAATCACCTTTAAAAAATTTTAAATCGCTTTGAGAGGTTCCGAGGACAGGGTTCCTGAAGCTCCCCCAGCAAAATTGTTTTTAGGGGAGTTTCGTCACTTCATCAGATATTACTCGGCAAATTTTAACATAGATAAAACTCACCATTCTGACCAACTTATCTAGCGGAAAAAAAATTCCAACATGTATTGATCGTTTACAATTAGTTGTGAAAAAACGGTGATTTTCGGTTCTGGGATTATACAGAGTTCCAACATAAATATTTGTGATTTACATGACTAGTACTTCAAATCCTGAAAGTTTCATTCGGGGCCAATGTAATTTTATCGAGAAACTCAAAGTGAAATTTCAGCTGAAGATACACGTATGCTTTTAACAGTTTTTCATCTATAATTTGTTTTAAATAAAAAATAAGGTTTTATAGTCAACTTTTCACACTGATTACCGTTTTATAGTCTATTTCGCTATATTCGCCTCTGATGGCACATACTTTTATATTTAATTTTAATCTCATCCTTGCTTTATTTATTTAAGGACTCCTCTCCACTTAAAAATCTGTTTTGATTCAGGAATATTCAATCTTTGTAAAAGTCTTAGCAATCCCTATCCGGACGTAATTTAGTTATTCTAAAAATTTCAACCTTTTATCACTTGTTTTTCCAGAGTTATTCATAAATTCCTGGTCAAAAGATATGGTCTCCTGCTTCAAAGGTACATTTTCAAACTAGAAATTATTTCCACCTGAACTGGAAATTTAGGTTTGCTCCCAAAAAATAGAGAAATGTTTTTCCTATCTCGTGAGGTGGTTAGGTTTCTCAACTAAACTTTAGTTTAGGAGGAATTCGTAAAGTTTCCGAAAATTTAAAGAGATTTTCTTTATTTTTCGGAAACTTTTTAAGTTTCTCCTAAACTAGAGTCCAATAGAGAAATCTATCCACCTCACGAGGTAGAAGAAAAAAATTTCTCTATTTTTTTGACTGGAACTCGAAATTTTCAGCTTCAGAAACGCTGGAGATATCTTTGAAGTACCATAGGCTGTAGTCGTAAACAAGAGGTTTCGAGAGAATAGCCGTACATTTGCTTGATCGACTCTGCTATCTTCAGGCAAATGCATGTTCAGTAGTTTTCGTTTTTTGTGTGTCCTTGTTTCTTAACGTGAAAGTCTCTCGTTTATCAAGCAGTGGGTGACTAGTTCCTAACATTTATTGTAACTGTACAAAGGAAAAATGTGTTGATCAACTATGTGTTAGTTTTGCGAGTGTTTCTTTATATTTCGTCAAAAAGCATCGATTTTTTGTTTTTTTTCTTTGTTTGAACATATGTGTGTTGCTCTACATGTCTGATCAAGTAATAAATGAACAATACCAGATAAACTGCTCACAAAAACGGTGTAGAAATGAAATCAAGAAGCTTCCTTGAATGAAAGTAAACAAGTTTAAATCATCTCAAGACTGCACACGTAAGAGAAAAACAGAACAAAAAAAAATCGGTTTTTTCCGTTTATGACTCACAGATAAAAGAGAAAGTAAAAGATACGCGTACTATCTTTTTCTTTTACTATCGTTGCTCGAGCTCTATTGTAATAACAACAGAAAGATCTAAAGATGATAACAAGATAGCAGATGGAGAAATTAATAGAATCAAATAGCCTAAGACATCAACTTTAATCCATCTCAAATATGTTGCGCATTTGTTACGACGAAAACAACAGGACGAAAAATTCTTCATCCTTGCGTGTTTATGACGCAAACGCAAATCAGCCTAAATCAAAAGCAAGTAATGAGAAGTTGAGGGATATAAAGACAAATAAAAGTACTTAAATGCACATTAAAGTGTATCTACATTCAAAGAATAGATCTACATTCCCTAACTTGCTTTTATATGCCTCTCAATCGTAGTATATATATATATATATATATATACAATTTCCTTTGAATGTGGCTAAATTCTGCACTCTATTTGTTATTATTAATTCCAAACTGAAAACTAATTGAAATAATATTTGCTCACCCACGCCCCGAAGCCTAAAATTAACGATGAACATTTTTCTTCTCAACTGAAAAATAAGCTGATCATGGTCTTGCTTCAAGGAACGACGTGTAATAAACCGTTCTTCATTAGGTTAATTTCATCCTTTCTCTTTATTTGAATCAACAAAATAAAAAATTATCATTGCAAGTGAATACATTAGAAAGAGCAAGTCAGTAAGGAAGAAAATGGTAAGTATCTGATTTTTCTGTGATTTAATTGTAATGGATAAGTGTTTACAATCATTTTTTTCAATTATTGGTTGTTGTTCTTTACCTCCAGTGCTTTATCTCCAGCTACTTCTGAATCATCAAGCATTCCACTTTCACGTTTATTAATTTTTTGTACGAGTGGTAAACAAGTCTCTTCCAATTCTTATATTTTTGTTCAAACGCACCTTGACTAGATACAGCGACATTACCGCGAACACAAAAAACGACATTACCGCAAATACAGAGAACGACATTACCGCGAAGACTTGTTTGTTGGAAAAGCCGAATAAATGAGGCCGGTTTTGTATTTTGTACATCATGTTTTCAAACTTAACTGACGTTATGTGGTGACTAGTCATTATCTGATACAGCCACAGATATCTAGTTTCCCATCACGATAATATGTTGTATGTGAAAATACTTTTCGAACTCACTCTCACAATGCCCTCTCCCCCACTTCCCACCTC